GTGTGGGGGGGGGGGCGGGGGGGTTGTTTATTAATTGAATTTAATAATATATAATAAATAATATTAATCATCTGATTTATGAAAGTTGGAATCTTATTTCTTAAAAATGAAACGGTGGATTGTTAAGATCTTATATATGTAATATTACCATTGAGAAAAGTTAAAAAAGTGGGCCAAGCTATTGAAAGCTAACATTTTTTCTCCTTCGTCAAGCTTTAAATTCAGTAGATCGTAAAGGAGATATGGACTTAATTTAGATGTGATAGATTTTTGTAAGAGAGATCCGTAGAGTATTGTTGGTTGAATTATGCTTATTATACATTGTCGGTTGACTTTTTTTTAATTTTTTGTAGGATAGGAAACATGGTTATTGATTGGAAAAAGTATTGTTAAAATCAATGTACAAAAATCTATCAATTCACGTAATTTTGAACTTGATGTAAAGCATGTGGTATATGTAGCATGGTGAAAAAGGCAATATGGGCTTAGATTAGATGTGATAGATTTTGATAAGACAGATCCATAGAGTATTGTAAGTTGAATTATGTCATCGTACACTGTCAGTTGACAGCTTTTCTCACAGCACGCATATGTGTTGAAAATTTGACCATTGATTAAAAAAAGTGTTTTTAAAATCAATATGCAAAAATCTATTAACTCACATGATATCAAATTTGATGTAAAACATGTGGTACATGCAGCACTATTGTTGTTAGTTTGGGCAAAAGTTGAAAATTTCTCATAGAGTTGTTGCCTCTGCCTTTCCAGTAAAAATATAATATAATATAAATAAAGATGTTTGGAAAGGAAGAAAAATGTTGTCACCCTCAACATTGACTCGTCGGTCCTTCAATAATAGCTTTATAATATACTAATTAAACAAAAATCAAATATAAGATGATTTTTTTTTTTTTTAATTGCTGCAAAATCTTCAAAGATATCGCAAAATAAACCTCAACATAATTAAGTCAACGAAGGGATTGTCTTCATAGGAAATTAATCATTTTCCGCTTAAACCCAAAGCAAAGGTCTCTCTCCTCTCTCTCTCTCTCAGAC